TAATAACACACATAAATTGATTAGTTTTTTGATAAGTTTGTTGTTTAGAATAAAAAGAAATGAACAAAACAATGTTATGACTAATGAATGATTAAATGAAATACTAATAAAGATATTGTTTTTGATTACAAAGTTTTATAGTTACTTGTCTTTTGTGTTATTTTGTTAAATCACATGAATGAAATAAAGTATCTCCAAAAAATAATATTTATTATTGATAATTTTTCATGACCATATTTCTCTACTCCACTAACAAATGATTTGGTTTTATTATTTGTTTCAATTCCTCTTTATTATTCTTTTTTCTTTTATCTAATCCATTTGATAACATTGATTATTTAATGGTTTATTCTTCAACTGTTATTTTCTTGTTTTATTTATTCATAGTAATAGAGTTGTAATATGTAGAAGAAATATACCAATAAATGTAGTATTAATCAATACTAACAAAAATGATTGTTATAAACTTAATGAAATTGGAAATAATTATCAACTATCCATAAAGATTCTATTAATTAATAAAATAAACTATGTGAAATCAAACAACTTATTGATTCATGAATAATAATTATTATGATTGATATAATTTATTTATCAAGAATATTGTTTTAAATCCTTTGATGTTTACTGAAATCTTATTAAAACAAAAATATTGAAGAAGATAATAACAAAATAACTTATACTGTTCATATAAAAGAAAATTTACACTATATTACTATGGTTTCATCTACTTTTTCTTTATATTATATTTTGTTGGTCTACTTCATGTTTAATAACCAACTCCAATAATTCATAGTAATTTTATAAAACGTATTTAATCTTCATTTTGTTTAAACTGATTTCTTTTTCTTCTACCAGTTTTACTTTCTTTTCTAATTAATAAACAGGAGATAATTAAATGTTAATAGTTTTATATTGTTCATTGCTCAGCAAAGATTAAATAATAACGTCCCTTTGATTTAAAAGTATTTGTTTATCAACTATTGGTATATTCTTTGATTATATTGTTGAAATATGACATTCATTTATTTATTGTACAATAGAGTGTTAAACATCTATTATTTAATATTCGTTATTTAATTTTTATTTGATTTTAATGGATATTAAAACTCTTCTTTATTTTCTTATTTTAAGAAGAATATATCATTGTCAGTATTTATTACGATTATTTTTCATTTTAGTATCAACCACCAAACCCTTTTTCTTTGACAATCTTATGTTATCAAATAATACTTGTATCCCAACAAGTAATAATAACATCTTTATAAATAAATACACTTTATATCAATGAGTTCTATCATTGTAAATAATAAACACTGTTATTCTTGCATTATTGAGTAAGATGTTTTTCTAACTAAATATAACGCCATAATCAGATGATAACTGGGGGATTCGAAGGATGGAAATATTTTAGGGTTCTATGTGGTATCTCTGACGTGCTACCTTCGAATCCAATAATAAATAATAAAGAAATATAATAAATAATTGATAAATGATAATCAAATTAAATTATAAACATAATAAAATAAATA